GGGGGGGGGGGGGGGGTACAGCAGAGGGTACAGGAGGAGGAGGAGGAGGAGGGCGCAGGGGCGTCATGAGTCACTGACCGCACACGTCAGCTCCGCCATGACCGTAATGTCAGATAAAATGCCCGAATATGTAAAGTAAATATTGCATCTCCAATATGTCATTTATAGTGTGAGGAACGTCACACTATCTCTTACGAGCGTTTTTATTTTTATTTTTCTCTCACATGTAAAATTTCTAAAAAAATGGCAGCGCGGGGGGCAGCGAGCTTGTGGTGTCGGGGCCCTGGCGGTGTCAGGAGCTGGTGGCAGCGGGCGTTGGCGACGGGGGAAGTGGGTGAACGAGGTGAAAAAATCGAGAGGGCACGTCGGTGCTTTCGCTTCAAGGTCTCGGTATGATGTTGCTCGTTTTTGCGTTTGGGCCACTGGACGGCCGATTTGTGTTCACCATTGTGCGGCTGCCAGAACGACCCTCAGCAGCTGGCGCAGTACAAGGAGCATCACCGAAACGTGTGGCCGGAGATGCAGGTTGGTCAACGTGGCTCTTGGGGCAAAGGGCATCTCATCCTGCAACAAGCACAGGCCTTGCACTGCCTCCCTCATGTCAGGTCAATTTGGCTTAGGCGGCGTTGCAACGGCAAGGATGGCACCAGTACAGCTTGTTCCTGGACGAACGGGACGGCACGTTGATTGGCGTCTTTGAGAGTGAGCGAAACCTGGCCGAGTGCGTTGCAGGCATGGAGACAGAGCCCATCAACGCTACGTGGCAGCAACACATGCAAAAGTACGTTGGCCCTCATCCCCCCTTTGCGCACCACCTTACCCTCACACGCCAACCAAGCTCACGCTGGGGTTGGACAACACGATTCGGCGGGTTTGCAACGCTGTGCTTCAGGTATTTTCCAGCCAGTGAGCAGCGACCAGATGAGCAAATGGTGGAACTTGAGGAGATCATGTTTCTGGACATTTAAACAAGGGTTAGTCCAGGGCTGCGAGCCCTTGCGATAGTTGGCTCACGGTAAAAAATCTGATCGGATTGTATCTTCGTCGCGATATCAAAGCGTAACCCCCCCGTCGTACGATCCATGCTTCAGACACCTTCTGCACGCAAGCGGGGGACGCGTATCAAAAAACTTCCTCTCTCCAAAGGCAAAAGAAAAAAAAAAAGTTAAAAATTAAAATTCATCATGGGCATCAACTCAAGATCAAAAAGTGGACATGGTTTACTCTGCTTTCTTCGACTGCAATGTCTGAGGCCGATGGGCCTCGGCCCACAACAATGCGGCTAGCAGGATCAGATGTGCGGCGTGGAGAACACCCGAGCTGAGTGGCGTGGCAGGGAAAATGTTCCAAGCATACTCAATGCCGACCAAGACCAGCACCCTAGAGGGAACATCAAATGAGCATCTGCCGACACTCAACACGGGGGAGAGGATGGAAAAGCACAGGTGCATTCCTGGCTGCTGGGAAAAAAAAAAAAAAGGTTGGCGCACATACCGAGCCCAGATGGGAAGGTGGGTCTGCCAGAGGAGAAATGGGATGGTGTGAAAATACCAGCTGTAAAACTGGTAGTGGAGGCTGCGTGAGACAGCCATGCCCACAAAATTGGCGGTGAAAAGGATGGTTAGTGTATCACGAGGTGTCAGCGCCACACCGCCTCGCCACAGGGCGTCCCATGTCGGCACACGTCGCAACCAAGAGCGCGCCAGCACCACTAAAAGGCAGATATGGAGGCCCAGCAAGGCGACGTGGAAACGGCGATCCAAAAAGGTTTCTTCGGACAGCAGCTTCCAGTTGACGGTCCACTTGTACATGAACTGGCGGCCCAGATCAAAGGCACGTGCAAGATATCCCATGGGATTGGCCAATAGGAAGGGAATGGCCAGAAGGATCTGCAAAACGCCGTTGATAGCAAGTTGCCAAAATGTGCGGTAGACGCCCAGCTCGGCAAGATAGACAAAGAGCAGGGCTGGGGCGTAGAGCAGCACGTTCATCTTGATCCCGACACCAAAGCTATTGAGGGGTTCAAATAAGAATCAGGGTTATTTGTGCGTTGCGGCTGGTCTGGAAGGGGCGAGGGGAAATTGCGGGAAGGGCGCGGGATGTACACCTGAAGAAGAAACTACCGAGGGACCAGCGCTTCTCCAGGAAGAACCAAAGAGCAATGTACAGGCAGAGCATGGCAATGGGGTCGTTGAAAAGCCGGAGCACAAAGATGGAGTGGATGCGAAAGGCGGCACCGGAGAGCCACAGAAAGAGGTAGGGCGGCATCTACGCAGGCGGATCGGCGGCGTGAATGGGCAATGGGAGGAAGGACTGGGACTGCCACAAGATGCTTCAAGCCTCCCCTGGGTGCAGGGATCCGTGGCAGCAGCGGCAGCGCAGAAAGTCATGGCAGCAGTGCTGCTACGCGCGTACCCGGGCCTTGGCATAGAGAGCCGTGATGACAAGCAGATTGAGGAGATACAGGCCGGCAAAGATGTATTGGGCCGTGCGAATGGCAGTGCCATAGGTTGTGGCATAGTAGAGACCGAGAAAGACGTAGACAAAGCCCGCGGGGTAGCTGAAGGTTGCAGGAAAGAGACGGTGCGGGTGGGTCAGGAACTGGGCCAGGTCACGGCGGGTCACAGGGGGGACCTACACGAGCGGGCCCGTATCGCCCTTGAGCTGGGTATAATCGTAGGTGCCATTGACGACTCCTTCCACTTCGTCCATGTAGGCTTGCCAATCAATCTCCGTGTCTATGAGATCAGCCACCCCGCCGATATAGATTCGCAATGAGTCGTCGAAGCGAGCTGGGAAACCAGAGCTTGTGCCGGGCCCAGGGCGCGAGGAACGAAGCGCCGCCACTTGAAACGCACAGGGCACAAAGGCAATAATGGCCATGTTCAGAACAACCTCGGCCAGGAGCATGAGAATAGCGAGGGTCCAAATGGAAGCCGGATCCACCAGCAGCGTATACAACCACTGCCCAACCCGGCCCAGCCACGAGGCAGGCGTGGTCGCTGCCATCTTGCCTTGTCCCACCACCTGCTTCACGTCCTACAAGCACATGAAGGATCATGCAGTGTGTATGTATGTATGTATGTGTGGTCAATGCACGAATCCTCAAACCTCAAGCCCCCGCAATCCTGCATTCAAAGCCAAGTATCCCCCTCCTCCTCCGCCCCGTTCAACGGTACCCCACCCCTCAAAGTCAGTCGCTCTCCTCCTCCTCCTCCGCCGTCCCACACACACACACTCCCCTCACTCACCACACACACTTCTCTCTCTCTCTCTCTCTCAAGAAAATGAAATGTGTGTGTGTGTGTGTGTGTGTGTGTGTGTGTGTGTGTGTGTGTGTGTGTGTGTGTGTGTGTG